CACAGTGCTGGGCTGCATTAACAGAGGGATAGAATCAAGATCACGTGAAGTATTAATACCACTTTACAATGCCTTAGTAAGGCCACACTTGGAATACTGCATCCAGTTTTGGTCACCATGATGTAAAAAAGATGTTGAGACTCTAGAAAGAGTACAGAGAAGAGCAACAAAGATGATCAGGGGACTGGAGGCCAAAGCACATAAGGAAAGGCTGCTGGAATTGGGTATGTCTAGTTTAATGAAGAGAAGGACGAGGGGGGACATGATAGCAGTATTCCAATATCTCAGAGGCTGCCACAAAGAAGAGGGAGTCAAGCTATTTTCCAAGGCACCTGAAGGCAGGACAAGAAGCAACGGATGGAAACTAATCAAGGAGAGAAGCAACCTAGAACTAAGGAGAAACTTCCTGACAGTTAGAACAATTAACCAGTAGAACAACCTGCCTCCAGAAGTGGTGAATGTTCCAACACTGGAAGTTTTTAAGAAGAGATTGGACAGCCATTTGTCTGAAATGGTATAGGGTTTCCTGCCTGAGCAGAGGGTTGGACTAGATGACCTCCAAGGTCCCTTCCAACTTTATTATTATTATTATTATTATTATTATTATTATTATTATTATTATTATTATTATTATTATTATTATTATCTACTGAAAGATTTCATACTTCTTGCAAAAAGCTAATATTGTACAGCCCATGATCTGTGGGTCATGGTTTTAGATATATTTCCTTATCTGAATAGATAAAACAGAATCATGGGCAGGCAAAAAAAGCAATGGAGTAGGAGTGACTTCCAACTTTCTGCAGCTTCCCCGTTGACTTAGCCTGTGGGGAGCTGGCAAGAAGGATCAGAAATTATGAACACATGACCTCAGCTGATCACAATGGTGCTACAGGGCAGCACAGCCATACTGCAGCGGCCACAATTTTGCCCATGCAAGTAGTCTGAAAATCCTTGCAATTTCAAACCCATAGGTGTGAATAGATCCTGGATTTCCTCAACTGCCGGATTTTTTTTTTATAAAACCAGATTGTGCAGGATGGATGATGAAAACCAATATTGCTGACAGAATATATAACAGGGTTGTGGTCAATAATTTTATAACAACATTTAGCAAACAAACTGGAAAATAATGCGCTCAGTCTGGAAGTTGAATGTTCATGGCAACTGGACTTCTTTTCTTTTTGGTTTGAAACGCTTTGCTGCTTATCCAACTATCTTTGTCAAACTGAAGTCTGTTATTCTGTTATTCTGTTGGGTTTCAAACCAAAAAGAAAAGACATCCAGTTGCCATGAACATTCAAGTTCCAGACAGCTTTGCTTGGATGACTGGGATTCCTTAAAGTCCCAGTTTTATAAACCTCACTAAAAAAAACTTGGAAAACCTTTAAAAAAAAGCATCATTTTGGATTTTGAAATGTACTGGGACAGAAACATCAATATAGATCCCATAATACATTAGAGAATAATCAGGAGTATTTCCTGTTTTCATAGCAAAATCTATTATTCCTTGGCGTGATTGAAGCGCAGCCATATAACCTGCTTGGTCTTACATAATCTTAGGAATAGGAAGTGTTATGTTATATAAAAATTGATTACTTTGTTCCTTTGTTGTATTCAATTCAGTTTTATGTAATCGAGAGTAACATTTTAAAAAAGTAATAATAATAATAATAATAATAATAATGATGATGATGATGATGATGATGATGATGATGATGATGATGATGATGATAATGATAATAATAAAGTTGGAAGGGACCTTGGAGGTCATCTGGTCCAACCCCCTGCTCAGGCAGGAAACCCTATACCATTTCAGACAAATAGCCATCCAGTCTCTTCTTAAAAACTTCCAGTGTTGGAGCATTCACTACTTATGGAGGCAGGTTGTTCTACTGGTTAATTGTTCTAACTGTTAGGAAGTTTCTCCTTAGTTCTAGGTTGCTTCTCTCCTTGATTAGTTTCCATCCGTTGCTTCTTGTCCTGCCTTCAGGCGCCTTGGAAAATAGCTTCACTCCCTCTTCTTTGTGGCAGCCCCTGAGATACTGGAACACTGCTATCATGTTGATTTATTGACTCATAAACTATCTATCTCTCTATTTCCTGGGCATTCTCTGTGGCTTATATAAGAAATAGTATATAGTTGCAACTATTTCAGATGAAAGGTTAGTAATTACCTTTACTTTTACTTTGCTCCCTGTACTTTTGCTTTATATCATTCAGTGATTTTGTTTTAAAACATAGAGGGAATTGTGTTCCTATATAGCATGAATAAATACTATGTGTAATTGGGATTTTGAATCATCTGCATATATGCTCAAAAGCATATTTTCCTGTTTCTATTTGTCAATTTTTCTTTTTATAGAGCATTATAAATAAACATGACCACATGTACATACATGCACATGCACGCACACACACACATATACCTTAAAGGAATTCCAAACAGCCAAAAAAAGTACAGCTAATCTATAACAAAAAACTTAAAAACTTGTGAATATTTTAATAAAGTTATATTTAAATATAATCTAGAAAAAATAAGAGCTCCACAAGGAAATGCAATACATTCATGAACAATCAATTAAAAAAACCCTTCTGGATCTCTTATTTCTTGTTCTCCTACAAATGTAGAGTAATTGAGAATCAGAACTACTATATAGCTATTCAATTTTAAATTTCCACTTATGTAGACTAGACCAACCCATTTGATGGATAAAATACTGCTCCTTTGAAGAAGGACAGGCTTTTCCTGTAAAAGAAGGGAAGTTCAAAAGTAATGTTCCGAAGTATTACTTCACAGAAAGAGTAGTGAAAACATGGAACCAACTTCCAGCGGAGGTAATGGGTCAATCATTAGTAACTAAGCTTAAGCGTGCTTGGGATAAACACATGCCCATCACCTGACAAAAAAATTTTAAAAAATTAAAAATTCAATGTGCAGACTTGATGGGCCACTAGATCTTTTTCTTCTACCAGTTCTCTATGTTTCTCTTTCTAACAGTAAGCTACTCAATTTAGTAGGTATCTGTCTTCTCTTAGAGGTATATTTAACATAGTTGGCTTTCACATAAGTAATAGAGATGCCATATTGGGCTGAAACTAAAAAGGGAAAGAAAAAAGTAAATATATATACACATGTGCACTGATATTTCCCAAAATTAAAATAAAGATGAAATAAATTGTTTTGGGGAGGCTGAGATGAATTTTTAAAAGCTAAAACAAAAAATTCCTTCCACTGAATTTACAGTTGCATATTCATTGAAAAGACATTCTTTCAGCTGCCAGTAGAAGGCACTATGATCAAGGGGTATGGTTGATTTTTTTAAAATTCACAAATTTAAAATTAAAGCCAATGTGTTGGCTGCGGAATTTTGGAAGTGGAAATCCATACATGTAAAAGTTTGTGAAGGTTGAGAAGCACTGCAGTTAACTTTAAAGATGTATCTTTAAAAAGTCAAAAATCAACTATTTACATTCCATCTCAAAGATATACAGATTGTCAACTGCTAAAGGAGAATTCAATTTTTCTTATATATCTTTCTTTGCAGGAATATGTCCCCAAAATCATCGAGACTGTGACAAGCAACTGGGACAACAATCTGCAAATAGCTGGTTTGAAGCTGCTGAATGGGTTGCACATACCAGACCACACACACACATTATTGAGAACACAGCTTACAAACTTTATGGACATTCTGCTCACCGCAAACACTTCAACCAAGGTACACAACACACAGGCACTTTCTTCTCTTTCAATAGGCCCAGGGGTTTGAGACTGGCTAAGCTTGGAACAGAGCAAAAATACATGTCTATAAAGAGATGCTAATAATATTCAGAATTTTTCCTCTAAACTCATTGTTAATTGCAGCCATTCAGATTCTGATTTATTCTAGTTCTCTGACTCAGTTCTGAACCTAGTTTCTGAACCAGCCTCCTGCCCAATCAGCCACCTTCTGTGGATCATTAAGCGTATTCGGTCCACACTAAATAGTATTTTCTTTTTCCCTGATCTTTTAAAAATCATTAGTATTCTTTGTCTACATTGGGATATCCTATCCTTTGCTGTTGGCTTATTCCTAGTCACTGATGTTGCCCTTTTGGCAACATGAAAATGGTCATAATGGTTCTCATATCTTGAATATTAAAAATGGAACAAAAAGGTTGGGCCCAGAGTAAAATGTTAAAAACTCTTTATTCAGGCTTTTCCAGAGCAACTATTCTGTGCCCCAACTGCTGTTAGCTCCTTATGAGCACTAATTATACTCAGCCACCATTGGAGTATGTTAAGACATATGTGTTTTAACATCTACAAAAATAAGAACCCTGAAGCTTGCTAAAACTCTCTGTGTGGGTAAGTGGTGTCAATTTGGTTACATTGACAACTTCAACATCAGAAATGCAGAGAATAATTGTTAGAATTCATGCTGCCTCTCACTCCACTTATCAAACCAGTTTTGCCTAACTGCTGTCAGACTAGAAAGCATTACATGGAATCCTCAACCAGTCTGACTCATGACTACATTTTGCAACTGGTAATCTGTCATAGATGCTCTGGAGGCCTGCCTAATCAGGATCTATTGATAGAGGTGCTCTTCTCCTCATGCCTTTTCTCTCTAATACAGACAGACAGGAGAGGAAGAGTAAAAACAGAAAGGGGAAAAGGCTATTTTCCAGCAGAATAGATTTATCCTTCTGCTGTGTTTGATTTTTTTTTTTTTACCTGAGTGGTCTTGGACTATAAATAAACTTCCACCTTCAATTTCCCCTTCCCCCGCATGCAAATGAATAGAGGATATCAATCAATTTGCTGGCATATTGGGAAGAGTTGATGTACTGAGCAGTGCAGATTGGCTTTTCAAGAACCCAGGCCCCTGGATGCTGGGCTATTTCCTCTCAAGCCATCACTGGAGGGATATGAAGTCTGTACTCTTTATTGTTATTTTGGCTTATAATCGTTGGATGACTCTAGATCAGACATGTCAAACTCACCATGTCACGTGACATTGCGCAACGTATCGGGACAGTTTTGCCATTGCCAGCAATAGGGTGGGTGCGGCTTCTGCATGACGCATCCGGCCCACAGGCTGACAGTTTGACACCCCTGCTCTAGATTGATGCAATAAAGCCCTTATGGGGAAATGACCACCACCACCAACAACAAAAATTACCAGCAATACTTCTTTATTTGCTAGAGAGCTCTAGTTGCAAAGGAAGCTACAATGGTCTAGTTTCTACATGGCAGTTTCTAAAATGGATCTTATCACCTGTTTGATCAGGTACAAGTTCTCAAATTTCTTGGTACACTCATTGAGAAGAAAGACTTCCTTTATGACATCATGAATTGTCAGGTAAGAAATTTGTGTTGGGGTGGGAGGAAGCAGTAGGGCATAGCAGGGATTTCTGGGAGCTGCAGGGAGGTTTGGGGGTTGAGTTTTACTTCTTCATAATTTTTTATTTATTTAATTTATTTAGCCTGTGGCATTGTTACAATAGCCAGGAGACTACAATGTTAATGCAGAGGAGTAGTTTGGCTGCCTGTTTACTAGCTATATTAGGTACATACTTGCACGCTTCCCAAGGTCCACCACAGGAGGGCGAGCTAGCTTTGCACCTGCGAGAAAGACGAGCGGCTCTTCCTGCAGCGTCATCAAGGCCCCCTTCCTCCACCAGAGCCGCCTCATAAACAGGCATTTCAACTGGGAAGGTTCAGAGCCAGCAGGAATCTGCCTGCCTGCATGAAGCATCAGCTTGTCTCCCCACTGAAGTGGTACCTATTTATCAATTCGCATGGAACATGCTTTCAAACTGCAAGTTGTGCAGAAGCTGAGGCAAGTAACAGGAGCTTACCCCGCCATGCAGTGCTAGGACTAGAACCGCTGGAGCAGAGACCATCTCCAGCATCATTGAGCCACTGAGCCACAGCACCTCTTGCTTTTTCTTAAGATCTGAGTACATAGCAGCAACTTATGAAAGCTTGATCTC